AATAGGGCAACCTAGTTCAGTATCAATCTCTTCACATTGAAAACTTCTGATACTTAAAATGAAGTTTACTTTTACCAAGAGAATAAGCTTAGGTCTTTATAGCTTTAACAAGATTTTTAAGACTTGGCCTGACTTCTTTGATGGTTTGTTTTCCCACACAAGGAAGGAAACTCTTCTATATTATAAAAAGCTTTTATTTCTGGTGTAACATCTGAATTCTGCAAAATGTCTTGTACAGCAGCACCGTTGCCTTTGAATAGTTCCTTTTCAGCATGTCATGCTGTGAGGTATAATTCTTAGAAAATTGCCTGTGCTAGCCTTGTATTAAGCTGCCCAAACTTTTACAATGGTTAAGCATCATCTTGAAAAGACTGTTCCTTGCTCAACTTCAGCACAAGTGGGGTCAACAGTTTTTTTTTCTTTTGTCATCCTCATGGCACTCCAATTACACATATAATGAAGGCTTCTGGAAGGAAAATTAGAACACTCCTTCGGATAGGTCAAGCTTTTCTCTTTGGCAAAAGAAAACAAGGAGGAACAGTGGCACCATTTGATCGGACAGTTCCTGAAGTGAGGGTATTTCTGGAGTTAACAAAGTGAGAAAAGGGAGCAGAATGTTTGGGGTGATTTTTCAGCAATAGGATAGCTTTCTGTAGATAACACAAGTACTTAAACGTTTTTGAAACTTGATTAGTGATGCCAGAGAAGAAAAAATAAAAATACTTTAATGAAACGTGCCTACTTTGGGTCTCTGCAAAGCCAGTTCATGTGAGTCTCGCCAACAGCCAAATTCCCCAGGAGGTGGCGCCGAGGCACTGCTCGATATCTGAGCATCTCAGCCGGCGTCAGTAATGTGTCTTACTTTGTTTTAAACTAACCTGCTTTCCATCCCATTTAGCCAAGCTGCATAAAAAGCTCAGAACGGGGCCTTGCTGGACTGTATTCTCTTGGCAAAGTGCTAGTCCTCCAGATCTCCTTATTTATTAATTTATTTTAATTTTTCTTCTGTTGCAATGACACTACCCATGTACACAAGCAACCAGCATACAGCCCTGTCATACAGGATTTTGTTTCTTGGGTTGTAATTCTGAGGTGAAATATTGGTTTATACACACTGATGTCTACTGTAACCTGCTCATCCATTGCTGCACACTAACGTTTCATGGGAGTTTATATATTTTTTGTTTTTAACAAAGATAAAGGAAACTTCCATTGAAAAAGTCATTAGGTAGAACTAGAGGGTCTTCCAAGGCTTGAGAAAGTATGAGATCAGATTTGTTAAGAAAGAATTTGTTTCCAAAGTTTCTGCATTTAATATTTACAGATCTTTGTACTGATGTCACTTTATTTTATTTTTTTTTCCAGAGACGTTGGTACTAAACAAAACTAGTGTTCTGGTGTAGGGACTTAGAATGTATTTCATGTAACTCCTATAACATTGTCCTATTTTTGAATAATCTATGAGAATAAGAAATCTTCTGAGAAGCAAACTTTGGCTTATTTTATAACATAAAAATTTCAAGTTGTATCTTTCCTGCTGTGCACTGAAGCCTCCGTGCATGCTCAGATTGTTGCTGAAAAATGGGTTCTGAAACTCTTGTCTGGGAACAAAGACAGGTTTTTCAATTAATTAAATAGCTAGAAAATGGGGTAAAATGGGGTTCTCCTCCCCCTCTACTCTGCCTCTGTTGTGAGGCCGCATCTGGAATACTGTGTACAGTTCTGGGCTCCCCAGTTCAAGAGGGACAGGGATCTTCTGGAGAGAGTCCAGTGAGGGGCCACAGAGATGATGAGGGGCCTGGAGCATCTGCCTTACGAGGAGAGGCTGGGAGAGCTTGGACTCTTCAGCCTGGAGAAGAGAAGACTGAGAGAGGATCTTATCAATGCCTATAAATACCTGAACTGTGGGGGCCAAATGGATGGGCCAGGATTTTTTCAGTAGTACTCAGTTACAGGACAAGGGGCAATGGGCAAAAGCTGGAACACTAAAAGTTCCACACAAACCTAAGGAAAAACTTCACTGTGAGGGTGATGGAGCA